ACCAATTCAGTGGTGCTTGAAAGAGAAATACTGTCCCCCGTTCTGTTCTCTTTCTACATTCAGGACCTATTCACTGACGCAGATGATCGGCTTATCAAGTATAGTGATGATGTCGCAATCCAAGGTGATTACTGCTTCTTACAGTTTCAAACCAATTTACCTGCCTTAAGTTTATGTTCTTCGTATTCCAAATTATCTATTATGGCCTCTAAATACAGTCAATCTCCTGCTATGTCGCACCCCTGAGAAGTCGCATTTTCCAATATCTTCCCATTTTTTCGAAAACCCAAACGTACTTTCTGNTCAATTATACAGGACTGGTTATAAACTGAACCTATCCTGCTGCTAGTCACTAGCGTAGGGTAAAGGTACATCTAGTACGTGATTTGACGATCACGTCTAGCTTGAATGGATCTATCAGGGAACTTGGAGAAAAACAAGAGGTAAGAAGTGAAAACTGCCATTGCGAAACTATCGGTTAAAGAACCGCTACACTCTACTTCGGAAACCCGAAATCTAAATACAGTCAATCTCCTGCTATGTCGCACCCCTGAGAAGTCGCATTTTCCAATATCTTCCCATTTTTTCGAAAACCCAAACGTACTTTCTGACTATGCGATGTCGCAGTTTCTGATACGTACTCACCTGGTCGTTGACCGATGTTCGGGACGACATTGACCATCCACCCTGAAATGTCGCACTCAGCCAATGGCGTTGCATCTAGTGTGACGCGTTCATGACACTGTTCGCTGATTGGATAATCCTTGCGAGGAAGTCACACTGATGTAAGTGATCGAAGATTGTTATTTGACGTCAAAATGTGCAAGCGTCTGTCGATCAGAGAGAAGCAGAATGTGTCGGAAATGCTGAAACAGCCAGGTGCAACTNCTGTCTACATTGTTGTACCCCATCGAATGACTATCGGGGAATTTTTGAACGCTGAAGCATCTGAGGGAAGATGCCACCTGAAAACCAACGAAAAGTTCAAGGCAGTGAATGAGGCAACTTTAGCTTGGTTTACTGCTGGGGGAAAAGTAGAGAGTTCCCAAATGTTATTACTGTTGGTGATTGGAAAGTTTCAAACTCCACGATGCCCCTGAGGTATAGGTAGAAAAAGTCTTCCATGAAGTTATAATTCTTCAAAGAACACATGGATGACTTCTACGTTATTTCACGGTTGACTGTCTGATGTCAACCGTAAAATGGTTTCTCAAAGGCGCTCTATTTTACTATTTATGGGTAACGCCCCTTGCCATAACCAAGCCGCAGTATTCTCCAACGTCAAATTGGTACGGCTGTCTCCGAACTGTTCTTCAATGTTATAACCAATGGATTAGAGCGTGATTTGGTCTTTCAAATGGTCGTTTCGGAAACATTTACTGGAGTATGTTTTGTCTTTGATCGAAGATCAGCGACGTATCATGAAAGCCGAGATGGACGTTCTCATGGCCATGCATCTGGTCAAGAAAGCTTGGGTATCTGTGGACCCGCGCGTATTGATCAACGCTTTCATTAAAGCTGGGTTCAAATCCACATTGATTCAGCCGGTGATACAGCAACCAGAGGATAAATGCGATTTGATGGAGGACTTTATTCATTGTCTACTGATGACCGTCTTCTTGAAGAAGAAATCGCCTGTTTAGAATTTGATGAAGTGGGTTAGTTAAAATTTCTGTATCAGGTCTCTTCTTTAATCATTAGATGAATTCGTTTCAAATCAAGCTAAGCATGGCAAAGAAGAAGATGAATGTGAGGTAGAGAATGCGCCCGAAATTATCTCAATCAGAGAGGCGCAGAAGTTATTGGATCAATTGAAGCTGTTTGCCTTGGCTAATGCTGGGAGTTCGGGTCGATTATTGGAGTGCACAATTGATTTAGACAGCACTTTTGTTGATTTCCAAAAGAGAACCAAGTCCAGACAAAAACTATTCATGATTTTGCTAAAAATAGATCTTTGTAATCTGCAAAGCTTTTTTTGCAACTCCTTGGGGCACTGAACTGAACTGTGGGGCACTCGAATGTAGGCAGTTTTACTACAGTGGTCACCAAAGCCACGGTCGTTTGGTCTATCGATGGGTTCTGTCACACTAACGTGCAAACGGGTGAACGATAATCGCGATTGACTGGTAAGCAGGAGAGTGGAGTGAGACGTCGGATCCGAGCGAGCGATAAACAGTCCCGCGGACGCGCCCGTGTGAATGAATGAACGATACTCTCACTTGTCCTAAAGCACCGATGTAATTAGACAGGTCACTTGCCAAAGGTCGTCCTAACCCGGGTCTAAGGAGAGTTTGTGAGATGCACCCGTAGTTTATGAAGCCTTAGTTTCTTGATAGTTACAGTGATTCCTGCAGGCTGGCGTCTATGGCCTTCGGTTGGTTGAACAGGAATGAATTTCTTCCAAGTAAACTCCCGTCTCAGTGACTATCCAAGCTCGCTCCAGCAAAACAAAACACGAGGAGGGACAGTTGACCCATCAAAATCCCGCTAGATGGACGTAGGAGCGGGGTACCTGGGGCGGCAGTAGAAGTATTCGCACTTCACCCAAGCTGGGTAGTCACCAGCCAATAGGCTGAGGTCCAGTTCTCGTTTCACTTGTTTCATTGGGTGCATGAGACTAAGGGTCAATCTCGAACAAAGGACGACTATCAACGCACCAGCAAACAACAAACTGGAATGAAACCCTAAGTCCTTGCATGGCAAGTCTCTGGGAGTTCCTACATGGATGCTTCGGTCACGCTCCTGCGTTGGACCAACGCCCCACTGCCTCTTGAGTCGAAGGCTCCGGTTAGGGTTCCCAAAGCGAAACCCCTGCCGCGAAGTATGCCGTGACTCAGATGCTTAGGCACCCATTTGGACAACCCTATCTCCCATCTGTCCAGTTCTTCCACTCACTCCCAAATCTTGAGATACCTCCTGTTTGCACCACCCATCAGATATCACTCGGAATTTTACCAGTAAGACCAGGCAATCAGAAGTTACAGGATTTCGGAAGCTAAGATTGCATTTTCACTTAGCCGCGTTCAACAAGTGAGAACCAGGCTGGCTTTAGGCCTGCTCGAGGTTGTAGCGACCACATCTTCACTCTTCGCCACATTGTAGAGCATCGACATTCTTCTCGTGGACCCACCATCTCTGTTTTCCTCGATTTGAAAGCGGCTTTCGACTCAGTTGACTGCTTTAAACTCTGGCGCTGCCTTTCCTTGAATGATGTACTCGAGAATTTTACTTCTATATTGCGATCTCTTTATACTAATAACCGAAGTCGAATCCGGGCTTACGGTACGTTTTCGCCCGAGCTCGCCACGGAAAGTGGTGTTCGTCAGGGTTGTCCTCTCTCCCTGTTTCTATTTAACTTTGTTATAGATCTAATTACGGAAACAGCCTTATCCTCGTGCGAGAATACAGGCATCGATTTGCTCCCAGATGGCAAACTGTCTGATCTGGAGTATGCAGACGACATTGTGCTGCTAAGCGAAGAACTAGGTAAGTTCCAAGCTTTTCTGGATAGCTTGATTGCTAGTGTAGCCATGTTCGGTATCCGTTTTGCACCTTCAAAGTGTCAAATGTTACTACAAGACTGGGTTGGTATGGCACCCAGTCTCACTCTAACTGGGGAAGTAATAGAGCAAGTGGATAAGTTTTGTTATTTGGGCAGCTGCAACTCACCTGGTGGACTCACCACGGATGCATACAGAAGGCTCGGTTGGCATTTGCTAACTTCAAATATTTGTGGGCTATCGCGACATCCGGTTGTCCGCGAAGGGTCGAGTGTATGCTACGGCAGTTCGGCCAGTTCTCCTATATGGCGCAGAAACCTGGTCATTAAGAATACAGGATAAGGAAAACAGCTGCCAGTGTGTGAAAACCGCTGTCTACGCAGCATTGCACGAATCTGGTGAAGAAATCGAACGAGCAATGCTGAGGTTAGGCGCAGAGTTCTAGGTATTCATGGTCGCGCACTGGAGCAAGTGATCGACCTGCATAGATTACGTTGGTCGGGGCATGTTTTACGCATGTCACCAAATGAGTTGCTGCAGCGCGCGATGTTTGCCGAGGTAGGCAGTGAGTGGGAAAAGTTAAGGGTGGTCAAACTAAGACCTGGTATGAGGGTGCGAAAACCCTAACCAGGAGACTCGGTAACATTAGTCACATTAGGCTCCCTAGATGGGGACCTCGAGTTCATTGTATTCAGTGGTTAGAGACATTGAGTGACACGGTTGAGCGTCGTAAACAATGGTACTAGCTACTACTACTGAACCAAAACATCGGTTGCTTACCAGGAACCCAGTCGTCAGACCACTAGTCATTAGATCAGATAGTGGGTTTCATCCACTCACTTCTTACGCCGTGCGCCACTACCCTCAGCTCATTTATAGAGCAGTTTAGTGATGTGTGGTCCCTGAGACATGTCTCAGCTCCTTGGAGACACAGGAGGCATTTGGGGAAGTGAGGGAAACTAATGATGTGGGACAGGCCCCAGGGACGATACACGCTATCAACCCAAAGGTGATACTCGCATCAGATCCCTCAAACCCTTGTTTCAAATACGTTATGTTTTCTTAGAAGCCCAATCTTTTCCCCGAAAATTTTCCAATACAGGCACGTCAAGAACAATTGTGTCTCGCTGCAGATAAAAGCTTCAGGAGAAACAAAAACGACCAGTCCAAACTAACAGTAACCATGTTTAATGTCTTCGTAACAGGAATCCAATGATGAGTGATGAAGTAACGATACGGTGACCAACATATGGTGGTCATGTCGAATAACAGCAGTCGGGAGGGAGCGAACAAAGTACAGTGGGAGACCGGGAAAGAGCCGGAGGGATTACCCAGTTTCATGACCAGAGGGGTGAAAGCGCATTCTCCGGTAAGACCGATCTTGTATCCAACCCGGTGTTATGGTATATAGGATTTTCGGATTGGCGAAGTGTGGCAGCCCCATCAAGCGACATGAAAAAAACAACAGTAGACAACAGAATGAAGCAAGTTTTGGAATAACTAGGATACAAGAACACCCGAGCTGGATGTGTTGTCCTTTTTCTCCGGTTCATTGGGGTCCTTCTCTCCAGCGATACGAATCTTGTGTTCTGCCTTGTATCTCTGCAATTCACGCCCTTTTTCTTCAAACTGTTTAGTAAGAGTTTCAATACATTCGGTCATCTGTAAATAGTAAACAAGAGGAAATGGACAGCATCGAAATAAGTTCGAAAACATGATATTAAACACACAAAAATCGAGTAAACGAACAGGGGCATACCTTTTGGACATTTGTTTCCAGAGCGGGAAGAATATCCTTGACTTGCCTTTCAATCAACACGTTATCGATCATGCGCATGCATTTCCGATTCGGATCAACCCCGCGTAGGACCTTAATTACCATACTGAATACGATTTCCGTTAGAATGGAAAAGGGGAAAACAGGAAAATAACAATTAGTTTGTTCCCAGTTTAAACAAACGTTAGCTGACCATTATGATGAAGCAGCTTTGCAAGTTCCCAAATTAAACTGCACAGAATACGAAAACATGGTTAATTTAGCTGGTCATGAAAAACCATTAGGGTCGTATTTTGTGTTCTGGTTTGTGTTAAACTATTTACAATCTTAGGCACTAAACAAAGTGTATTGCAAAGAAAAATGTATGAATATGATAAAAGTAGACACACGAGTACAGCGGTGCATGCTTTATTAAATAAAACATCATCATAATCAGCGAAACACTGTGTAGATCACAATTTATACAAAAGGAAGATGATTATGTTAGGAAGGTAGGTCGCGAACTTATCTAAAAGACCGTAATGAAACCGTACCGTGACGTACTATGACGGTTTGTGCCTTCGCGACCTAGTGAGCTATATACCACGGACTGTCAAAGCATGGAAATTCCTTGGGGGCCAGACAAAGCTCAACCTCGAAATGACAGATGATTGGACCTCAGCTGGGTTTTCCCTTAACCATCAGCATTCGATTCTGAAGAGGACACTCCAACCTCAGTATGGTCAGCAGTGTCTCGGATTGTGGCTAGTGACCCAGGCCTCAAAACTCGCGAAATACTCAATGGGTTTCCGTGGAAGAGGTGTGTTTCCCACAAAAGTGAGAAGACAAAAGCCTAACATCTGCGGTTATAACCGGTCGATGAACCAGTCGGACAGTTCACCTAGGGGAGCTGACTAAAAACCCTGACTCCAAACTAACCAAGAAGAGGCGTACTAATCACACTCACCCATACCTTGGTTTTGGAGGTGGTCACCGGCTTAATTAGGCATCGAAGGATATTGGGCACCTTGGACGTTTGGCCCCGTCCGAAGGGTGTATGACCCGATGAAGTGGACACCGGCCCTCAGTGGATTTTTTTTATTACACACCGAAGTGTGATAAACAGCAGACGGGGTGAACCCCACAGTCACGATGACCTGTTATTTAGTGGTGGAAACCGGCAACCCAAGCCCCGGGACTTGGAGTTGCGAACCGCATAATACCCCGCTAGGTTAGGCGTGGTACTGAACCGGACGACAGCAGAGCGGTCTACCACAAATGTTGAGTGGCAGTGGTGCGGGTTGAACCTCGAACTATGGGGTCTAAAGCACGCCAGTGACAGTGACTAAACCACTGTGTCACCACCACCTGGTAGCGGTTTTCGTACAGCAGCCCGCTGCCCTGTGGATCAGGCTTTGGCTAACCGAAGGCTCCGATTGTGAATTCCTCAAGAAAATTCACCTGCTTCGGTCTGAGTAACCCAGCACTCTGGAGCAAACGATGGAACTTTTTACATTAAGACTGTTTTACCGAGGTTTGTTTAGCACGCCGTCAAGACTCGAGCGTGTGTCAAAATAAAATAAAAGACACTCCAACGATAAGACAAGTAAGACGTTTTCCGGATGGAAAGCAGAAGTGAAGATGGAAAAGGGTCAAGGGCGATCAAACTCAAACCTGGGGTGAGAATAAGAAAACCCTGACCAGAAGCCTTGCTCAAAAAGGCAGCATAAAACTTCCTGGATGGGGACATAGGGATCGGCGTAATCATCATCGTCATCGTACAGCGAAATACCACTGCCTTGCGGTTAGGTTCTGTCATAACCAAAGGATTTGGTTGGGAACCCTAATCGTTCTCCTGCTTAGTGGCTGGACATCCTAGCAGTACACGCCCATAAAGCTCCAATGAACACAAACAAAAAATTTCTTACTGCATCGGTCGTCGCACAGGATAATCAGGACCGCGCTGCCCATTGCATCGAGCGGGG